GAATTCTACTAAAGTGGTGTAAAGGGCATTAGTTTCAGCAGAAGTGGTGCCTGCTCCAGCACTTTCTATAGAGGTGGTGACTATGGAAGCAGTTGCTTCTGCAGGGGTAGTCACGATGGTAGAAGATTGTATAGAAGAGGTAAATAAGGAAGTGGTTTCTACTGAAGTGGTGTATGGGGCAGGTGTTGCAGCAGAGGTAGAGCCTGACATACTTGATTCTGTGAAAATTGCTCCAAATGTCGTTTCGGCAAAAATAGTGCCTGATGAAGTTGACTCTGCTAAAGTGCTGCCAACTGTAGTAGTTTCTACTGAAGTGGTGGCTGGAGAAGCAGTTGTTTCAGAAAGGGTGGTGCCATGTATAGTAGATTGTACAGAAGTGGTGACTGGAGTGGTAATTTCTGCTAAAGTGGTGTATGGGGCAGTTGTTGCAGCAGAGAAACTGCCTGACGTACTAGATTCTGCAGAAGTTGCTCCAAAGGTAGCTTTGGGAGAAATAGTGTCTGATGAAGTTGATTCTGCTAAAGTGCTGCTAACTGTAGTAGTTTCTACTGAAGTGTTGGCTGGAGAAGCAGTAGTTTCAGAAAGGGTGGTGCCATGAATAGTAGATTGTACAGAAGTGGTGGCTGGAGTGGTAATTTCTACTGAAGTTGTATACAGGGTAGTTGTTGCAGCAGAGGTAATGCCTGACATAGTAGATTCTGCAGAAGTTGCTCCAAAGGTAGCTTTGGGAGAAATAGTGCCTGATGAAGTTGATTCTGCTAAAGTGCTGTCCACTGTAGTGAATTCTACCAAAGTGGTGTAAAGGGCATTGGTTTCAGCAGAAGTGGTGCCTGCTCCAGGACTTTCAATAGAAGTGATGCCTATGGAAGCAGTTGCTTCTTCAGGGGTAGTGCTGACGGTAGTAGATTCTACAGAAGCGGTGCCGAGGAAATCAGTAGTTTTTACAAATGTGGTGCCACGCAAGACAGTTGTTGCAGCAGAGGTTGTGCCTAGCATAGTAGATTCTGCAGATGTAGTTCTCAATGTAGATTTTGCAGAAATCCTGCCCGATGAAGTGGATTCTGCTAAAGTGGTGTCCACTGTAGTGAATTCTACCAAAGTGGTGTAAAGGGCATTGGTTTCAGCAGAAGTGGTGCCTGCTCCAGGACTTTCAATAGAAGTGATGCCTATGGAAGCAGTTGCTTCTTCAGGGGTAGTGCTGACGGTAGTAGATTCTACAGAAGCGGTGCCGAGGAAATCAGTAGTTTTTACAAATGTGGTGCCACGCAAGACAGTTGTTGCAGCAGAGGTTGTGCCTAGCATAGTAGATTCTGCAGATGTAGTTCTCAATGTAGATTTTGCAGAAATCCTGCCCGATGAAGTGGATTCTGCTAAAGTGGTGTCCACTGTAGTGAATTCTACCAAAGTGGTGTAAAGGGCATTGGTTTCAGCAGAAGTGGTGCCTGCTCCAGGACTTTCAATAGAAGTGATGCCTATGGAAGCAGTTGCTTCTTCAGGGGTAGTGCTGACGGTAGTAGATTCTACAGAAGCGGTGCCGAGGAAATCAGTAGTTTTTACAAATGTGGTGCCACGCAAGACAGTTGTTGCAGCAGAGGTTGTGCCTAGCATAGTAGATTCTGCAGATGTAGTTCTCAATGTAGATTTTGCAGAAATCCTGCCCGATGAAGTGGATTCTGCTAAAGTGGTGTCCACTGTAGTGAATTCTACCAAAGTGGTGTAAAGGGCATTGGTTTCAGCAGAAGTGGTGCCTGCTCCAGGACTTTCAATAGAAGTGATGCCTATGGAAGCAGTTGCTTCTTCAGGGGTAGTGCTGACGGTAGTAGATTCTACAGAAGCGGTGCCGAGGAAATCAGTAGTTTTTACAAATGTGGTGCCACGCAAGACAGTTGTTGCAGCAGAGGTTGTGCCTAGCATAGTAGATTCTGCAGATGTAGTTCTCAATGTAGATTTTGCAGAAATCCTGCCCGATGAAGTGGATTCTGCTAAAGTGGTGTCCACTGTAGTGAATTCTACCAAAGTGGTGTAAAGGGCATTGGTTTCAGCAGAAGTGGTGCCTGCTCCAGGACTTTCAATAGAAGTGATGCCTATGGAAGCAGTTGCTTCTTCAGGGGTAGTGCTGACGGTAGTAGATTCTACAGAAGCGGTGCCGAGGAAATCAGTAGTTTTTACAAATGTGGTGCCACGCAAGACAGTTGTTGCAGCAGAGGTTGTGCCTAGCATAGTAGATTCTGCAGATGTAGTTCTCAATGTAGATTTTGCAGAAATCCTGCCCGATGAAGTGGATTCTGCTAAAGTGGTGTCCACTGTAGTGAATTCTACCAAAGTGGTGTAAAGGGCATTGGTTTCAGCAGAAGTGGTGCCTGCTCCAGGACTTTCAATAGAAGTGATGCCTATGGAAGCAGTTGCTTCTTCAGGGGTAGTGCTGACGGTAGTAGATTCTACAGAAGCGGTGCCGAGGAAATCAGTAGTTTTTACAAATGTGGTGCCACGCAAGACAGTTGTTGCAGCAGAGGTTGTGCCTAGCATAGTAGATTCTGCAGATGTAGTTCTCAATGTAGATTTTGCAGAAATCCTGCCCGATGAAGTGGATTCTGCTAAAGTGGTGTCCACTGTAGTGAATTCTACCAAAGTGGTGTAAAGGGCATTGGTTTCAGCAGAAGTGGTGCCTGCTCCAGGACTTTCAATAGAAGTGATGCCTATGGAAGCAGTTGCTTCTTCAGGGGTAGTGCTGACGGTAGTAGATTCTACAGAAGCGGTGCCGAGGAAATCAGTAGTTTTTACAAATGTGGTGCCACGCAAGACAGTTGTTGCAGCAGAGGTTGTGCCTAGCATAGTAGATTCTGCAGATGTAGTTCTCAATGTAGATTTTGCAGAAATCCTGCCCGATGAAGTGGATTCTGCTAAAGTGGTGTCCACTGTAGTGAATTCTACCAAAGTGGTGTAAAGGGCATTGGTTTCAGCAGAAGTGGTGCCTGCTCCAGGACTTTCAATAGAAGTGATGCCTATGGAAGCAGTTGCTTCTTCAGGGGTAGTGCTGACGGTAGTAGATTCTACAGAAGCGGTGCCGAGGAAATCAGTAGTTTTTACAAATGTGGTGCCACGCAAGACAGTTGTTGCAGCAGAGGTTGTGCCTAGCATAGTAGATTCTGCAGATGTAGTTCTCAATGTAGATTTTGCAGAAATCCTGCCCGATGAAGTGGATTCTGCTAAAGTGGTGTCCACTGTAGTGAATTCTACCAAAGTGGTGTAAAGGGCATTGGTTTCAGCAGAAGTGGTGCCTGCTCCAGGACTTTCAATAGAAGTGATGCCTATGGAAGCAGTTGCTTCTTCAGGGGTAGTGCTGACGGTAGTAGATTCTACAGAAGCGGTGCCGAGGAAATCAGTAGTTTTTACAAATGTGGTGCCACGCAAGACAGTTGTTGCAGCAGAGGTTGTGCCTAGCATAGTAGATTCTGCAGATGTAGTTCTCAATGTAGATTTTGCAGAAATCCTGCCCGATGAAGTGGATTCTGCTAAAGTGGTGTCCACTGTAGTGAATTCTACCAAAGTGGTGTAAAGGGCATTGGTTTCAGCAGAAGTGGTGCCTGCTCCAGGACTTTCAATAGAAGTGATGCCTATGGAAGCAGTTGCTTCTTCAGGGGTAGTGCTGACGGTAGTAGATTCTACAGAAGCGGTGCCGAGGAAATCAGTAGTTTTTACAAATGTGGTGCCACGCAAGACAGTTGTTGCAGCAGAGGTTGTGCCTAGCATAGTAGATTCTGCAGATGTAGTTCTCAATGTAGATTTTGCAGAAATCCTGCCCGATGAAGTGGATTCTGCTAAAGTGGTGTCCACTGTAGTGAATTCTACCAAAGTGGTGTAAAGGGCATTGGTTTCAGCAGAAGTGGTGCCTGCTCCAGGACTTTCAATAGAAGTGATGCCTATGGAAGCAGTTGCTTCTTCAGGGGTAGTGCTGACGGTAGTAGATTCTACAGAAGCGGTGCCGAGGAAATCAGTAGTTTTTACAAATGTGGTGCCACGCAAGACAGTTGTTGCAGCAGAGGTTGTGCCTAGCATAGTAGATTCTGCAGATGTAGTTCTCAATGTAGATTTTGCAGAAATCCTGCCCGATGAAGTGGATTCTGCTAAAGTGGTGTCCACTGTAGTGAATTCTACCAAAGTGGTGTAAAGGGCATTGGTTTCAGCAGAAGTGGTGCCTGCTCCAGGACTTTCAATAGAAGTGATGCCTATGGAAGCAGTTGCTTCTTCAGGGGTAGTGCTGACGGTAGTAGATTCTACAGAAGCGGTGCCGAGGAAATCAGTAGTTTTTACAAATGTGGTGCCACGCAAGACAGTTGTTGCAGCAGAGGTTGTGCCTAGCATAGTAGATTCTGCAGATGTAGTTCTCAATGTAGATTTTGCAGAAATCCTGCCCGATGAAGTGGATTCTGCTAAAGTGGTGTCCACTGTAGTGAATTCTACCAAAGTGGTGTAAAGGGCATTGGTTTCAGCAGAAGTGGTGCCTGCTCCAGGACTTTCAATAGAAGTGATGCCTATGGAAGCAGTTGCTTCTTCAGGGGTAGTGCTGACGGTAGTAGATTCTACAGAAGCGGTGCCGAGGAAATCAGTAGTTTTTACAAATGTGGTGCCACGCAAGACAGTTGTTGCAGCAGAGGTTGTGCCTAGCATAGTAGATTCTGCAGATGTAGTTCTCAATGTAGATTTTGCAGAAATCCTGCCCGATGAAGTGGATTCTGCTAAAGTGGTGTCCACTGTAGTGAATTCTACCAAAGTGGTGTAAAGGGCATTGGTTTCAGCAGAAGTGGTGCCTGCTCCAGGACTTTCAATAGAAGTGATGCCTATGGAAGCAGTTGCTTCTTCAGGGGTAGTGCTGACGGTAGTAGATTCTACAGAAGCGGTGCCGAGGAAATCAGTAGTTTTTACAAATGTGGTGCCACGCAAGACAGTTGTTGCAGCAGAGGTTGTGCCTAGCATAGTAGATTCTGCAGATGTAGTTCTCAATGTAGCTTTGGGAGAAATAGTGCCTGATGAAGTTGATTCTGCTAAAGTGCTTTCAATTGAAGTAGTTTTTACTGAGGAGGTGTACATGTCAGTAGTTTCTACAGAAGAAGTGGTGTTTAGGAAAGTAGTTGCTTCAGCAGGAGTGGTGCCATTGGTGGTAAATTGCACAAAAGAGGTGACCGGAAAAGTATTTTCTACTGAACTCGTATACCAGGCAGGGGTTGCAGCAGAAGTAGTGCCTGACATAGTAGATTCTGCAGAAGTGGCTCCAAAGGTTGTTATGGGAGAAGTTGTGCCTGATGAAGTTGATTCTGCTAAAGTGCTGCCAACTGTAGTAGTTTCTACTGAAGAGGTGTACATGGCAGTACTTTCCACAGAAGTGCTGCCTAGGTAAGCAGTTGTTTCAGCAGGGGTGGTACCATGGATAGGAGATTGTACAGAAGTGGTGACTGGAATAGTAGTTTCTACAGAAGTGGTGTATGGGGCGGTTGTTGCAGCAGAGAAACTGCCTGACATACTAGATTCTGCAGAAGTGGCTCCAAATGTAGTTTTGGCAGAAAAGGTGCCAGATGAAGTAGATTTTGCTAAAGTGGTGCTCACCATAGTAGATTCTAATAAAGAGCTGTATAGGGCAGTAGTTTCAGCAGAAGTGGTGCCTTTGGAAGCAGTTGCTTCTGCAGGAGTAGCGCCGACGGTATTAGATTGTACAGAAGTAGTGATTGGTGAAGTGATTTCTAGTGAAGTGGTGTACGAGGCAGTTGTTGCAGCTGAGGTATTACTTGATGCACTAGACTCTGCAGAAGTAGTTTCCAATGCAGTTCTGGCAGAAATCTTGCCTGATGAAGTAGATTCGGTTAAAGTTGCATTGGCTGTGGTCTTTTCTATTGAAGTGGTGTACATGGCAGTACTTTCTACAGAAGTGGTAGCTAGGGAACCAGTTGTTTCAGCAGGAGTGGTGCCATCGGAGGTAAATTGCACAAAAGAGGTGACCGGAAAAGTTGTTTCTACTGAAGTAGTGTAAGGCGCAGTTGTTTCAGCAGAGGTAGTGCCTGACATACTAGATTCAGCAGATGAGGTTCCAAAGGTGTCTGATGAAGTAAATTTTGCTAAAGTGGTGCCCACTCTAGTGAATTCTACTAAAGTGGTGTAAAGGGCATTAGTTTCAGCAGAAGTGGTGCCTGCCCCAGTACTTTCGTTAGAAGTGATGCCTATGGAAGTAGTTGCTTCTGCAGGGGTAGTGCTGACAGTAGAAGATTGTACAGAAGTGGTGATTGGGAAAGTAGTCTCTACTGAAGTGGTGTACAGGGCACTAGTTTCAGCAGATGTGGTGTCTGTTCTAGTGGTCTCTATGAAAGTGGTGTTTAGTTCAGCAATTGTTTCAGCAGATGTGGTGCCAGAGGTAGTTGTCTCTACAAAAGTGCTGCTTAGTTCAACAATTGTTTTGGGAGAGGTGATGCCTGGGGTAGTAGATTCTACAGAAGCTGTGCCGAGGAAATCAGTTGTTTTTGCAAATGTGGTGCCACGCAAGACAGTTGTTGCAGCAGAGGTTGTGCCTGGCATAGTAGATTCTGCAGAAGTTGCTCCAAAGGTGGCTTTAGGAGAAATAGTGCCTGCTGAAGTTGATTCTGCTAAAGTGCTTTCAATTGAAGTAGTTTCTACTGAGGTGTACATGTCAGTAGTTTCTACAGAAGAAGTGGTGTTTAGGGAAGTAGTTGTTTCAGCAGGAGTGGTGCCATCGGTGGTAAATTGCAAAAAAGAGGTGACCGGAAAAGTATTTTCTACTGAACTGGTATACAGGGCAGGGGTTGCAGCAGAGGTAATGCCTGACATAGTAGATTCTGCAGAAGTTGCTTCAAAGGTTGTTATGGGAGAAATAGTGCCTGATGAAGTGGATTCTGCTAAAGTGGTGTCCACTGTAGTGAATTCTACCAAAGTGGTGTAAAGGGCATTGGTTTCAGCAGAAGTGGTGCCTGCTCCAGGACTTTCAATAGAAGTGATGCCTATGGAAGCAGTTGCTTCTTCAGGGGTAGTGCTGACGGTAGTAGATTCTACAGAAGCGGTGCCGAGGAAATCAGTAGTTTTTACAAATGTGGTGCCACGCAAGACAGTTGTTGCAGCAGAGGTTGTGCCTAGCATAGTAGATTCTGCAGATGTAGTTCTCAATGTAGATTTTGCAGAAATCCTGCCCGATGAAGTAGATTCTGCAAATGTGGTTCCCAATGTAGTGTTTTCTATGGACGTGGTGTGCTGGGCACTAGTTTCAACAGAAGTGGTGTCCAGGGAAGCAGTGGTTTCAGCAGGTGTCATGTCATGGAAAGTAGATTGTACAGAAGTGTTGATTGGGGAAGTGGTTTCTATTAAAGTTGTGTACAAGGCAGTAGTTTCAGCAGATGTGCTGCCTGCTCTAGTAGTCTCTACAAAAGTGGTGTTTTGTTCAGCAATTGTTTTGGCAGAGGTGGCGCCAGAGGTAGTTGATTCTACAGAAGTTGTGCCTGCAGACTCGGGTGTTTTGGCAAGCATGGTGGCAAGGGTAGTAGATTCTACAAATGTGGTGACTGGGGAAGTGGTTTCTACTGAAGTGGTTTCTATGTGCAAAGCAGTAGTTTCAGCAGATGTGGGACCTGTTCTATTAGTTTCTACAAGCGTTGTGCTTAGTTCAGCAATTGTTTTGACAGAGGTGGTGCCTGGGGTAGTAGATTTTACAAAAGCTGTGCAGGGGGAAGCAGCTGTGTCAGCAGACTCTGTGTGATGGGTAATAGACTGTGAAGAAGTGGTGACTGGGGAAGTGGCTTCTACTGAAGTCGTGTGCAGATCACTAGTTTCAGCAAAAGTTGCGCCTGTTGTAGTGGTTTCTATAGTGGTGCCTAGGTAAGCAGTTGTCTCGGCAAAGTTGGTGCCATGGGTAGTAGTTTCTACAAAAGTCAAGTGGGGAAAAGTAGTTTCTACTGAAGTGGTTTCCCAAGCAGTAGTCTCTACAGAAGTGTTGCCTGGTAAAGTTGCTACTACAAACGTGGGTCCTGGGGTATCAGGGGTACTAGTCTTGGAAGAAACGAAGTCTGATGATATAGGTTTTGAAAAAGTGGTGTCGACGGTAGTAATTTCTTCTGAAGTGGTGCCCATTGTAGTAGTTTCTAATGAAGAGGTGTACACTGCAGGCATTTTAGCTGAGGTGGTACCTGTTCTAGTAATTTCTAGAGATGTGGTGCCTATGGAAGGAGCCGTTTTAGCAGAAGTGGTGATAGGGGTAAAGGATTCTATAAAAGAGCTGAGTGGGGAAGTTGTTTCTACTGAAGTGGTAGCTAAGGCAGTAGTCCCTATAGAAGCGGTGACTGGAAAACTTATTGCAGATGTGAGGCTTGGGGTAGCTATTTTTGTCAGAGTTGTATCCATGATAGTGGTTTCTCTTGAAGTGGTAGCAGTTTCCATCATAGTATATTCTTTTAAAGTAGTAGTAGTTTTGTCAGATGTGGTGCTAGTGTCTAGTACAGTGTCAGCAGAAGGAGTGGCTGGGGTAGTAATTTCAAACCAGCCCAGCATAGTAGCTTCTGCCAAAATGGGTTCCAGGGTATTTGTTTCTTCATAAATAGTGGCTGGGGTAGTTGTTTCAAGCAAACTGCTACCTAGCATTGTAGTTTCTCCCAAAGTGGATTCCAGTGTAGTAGCAGTTGTAACAGTTGGAATAACACTAAAGCCCCAAAGACCATAATCTGTCTCAGACTGCACATCAGTAGTAGCAGTTGCAGTTTCAGTGCTTGGTTTTGCAACATCACTTGATGTTTTGGTGGTACCAAGTACATCGGGGGGCCAGAAGGTAACAGTGTTTGTTTGTATAGTATAGTCTGGACTTGAAGGGGTGCTTGAAAATTCCTCAAATGGAACAGTGGGTATGACATCCAAATCCCAAAAACCAAAATCTAACTCGACATCGGCATCAACAGCAGAAGTTGCAATTTTGGTGATTCTGCCTGGCTTTGTAGCAGCACTTGATTCTTCAGCTTTCTGGGTTACACCAAGAGTTAAATCAGATGGCTTGAAGGAAATAGAGCTTGTACTCATAGTAGGGTCTATGTATGCAGGCATGCTTGATAATTGAGGTGACTTCGGGGTGGTTTTTGGAGCTACTTCAAACGCCTCATATTGAGCAGTGGGTATGTCTTCAAATTCCCAAAGTAGAGAATCAGTCTCAGAACCTACAATGGCATTAACATCACAAGATTTATTACTGTTTTTTGTCTTATGGGTTGTATCAAGAGATACAGTGGTTGGCCTAATGGAAATGGTGCCTGTAGTGGGGTCTGGATCCACAGGTGTGCTTGATGATATGTCTGTTTTTGCTTGTGTTTTTTCTGTCAGAGACGTACCAAGATTTTGCTCAGCTGGCTCAAAAAAAAATGAGGGGTTGACATGGTCTTTCCTCAAATCGAAATAATCAAAATCTAGATAATCAGTTTCTACTGTATCAGGAGGAAAGTCAAGTAATTCAGTAGTGACAGCACTAGGAGATTTAGACTCTGAAGAAGAAGAAGAAATCCCAGGTTGGATGATCTGTAAGGGGACAGTGAATTTTGCAATCTTCGGTATAAAGGAATCCGTCGGAACTGAATCAAACTCCCAATCAAAATCAAATACATCTTGTCTTCGTTTTCTACTGCCCTTTTTGAAAGGAATCATGTGGTGAACACAGGACACTCTGATCATCTGTGATTTTCCAGTCAAATCAAGATAACTCAGCCGAAGAACATCACCCTTTCAAAAAGTAATAAAACTTTTTTAAAAATCAATACCTTTGAAAAAGCAAAGAAAAAAAACTGTGAAAGGGTTATACCTTAATCTCAGAGCGTTTAACTTTGACAATCACAGCATTGTGATGTTTCCACATGATTAGATGAGGGAATTGCCTGGAAACATCTTTAGAACAGAGATTGACAAAGCTTCTTTTACATATTTAAGAGGCTTAAATGTTTAAGGTACCAGTTCACATCTTTGTTTTCATTATTTTTATGCAAATTACAAAGTCATGGACAATTTTTAAAAAACATTGAATCCGACAAACTTTTAAATTGCTGCAGTCACGAAAATAATAGTGTAATCCACCAATGACAAATACTCACCCAAAACTTTAACATCTTCAACCTTTTTGCTTGGTAATTTTACAATCACAGATAACTTTCCACAAATAACTTCAGGTGATTGTTCTGCAGAAAGTATTTCATATGGCAAGATGGCATGACAGGTAGCAGTGCCAAAGAAATTCCTCATTAGAAGACGATCAAAATAAAGTACTCTCACAGAGTAGTACGTCCTTTTGCCCCGAGTCTGAGGAATTAAACAGACAATTTCAAAAATTATAAACATTTTTACATTTTATTAGCAAACAATCAGTCGTCACGCTGCTTGGGTAAGATGCCTGAATGTGGACACATTTATATAATATGAAACTTGTTATCTAGCTTGACAAGCATGACGTAAAAATTTCAAACTGAGCTTTGGTGCATTAGCTGGCACTAAGCCAGAGAAGAACGCGTCATATTATCAACAATTGTGCAGTGTTTAACCAGCCAATGCTTATTTTGTGTTTTAGAAATGTAAATACACAAGTACTAGTAAAACGATACATTTAGAGTTTGTAGAGCACACAAGAAAGTCTTGGAAGTCTAACAATTCATTCAAATATAATTTACTGATGTGTATTATTCATATATTATTCATGCGCGTAGTGAAAGTAACAATAAAGTTCAATCTATATTTCTCCCAGCTGGCCATCCACTTGCTTGCATGCATGCATGCATTTTAGGAGTAACTAGTAAATGTATGTGCTGAATCCTGTGGTTTCTGCTTCTATTAATGAGGCAAATGCACAGCCATAAGTAAACATGGAGATGTCATCTCGAGTTATAGATCACAATCAAGATAATTTATACATAATTGTTTGTGGTTAGTTCGATACCGGTGCTAAATTGATACTATTAAAACGGTACCGGTGCCAAAACGGTGCCTGAACAGATACTTTTTAGCAACAAAATGATTTGACCAAAAAATAAAAATAAATAAATAAATAAATAAATAAATAAATATATATATATATATATATATATATATATATATATATATATATATATATATATATGTAGGTCATCCGGGAACTTCTCTCATACCACATACTGTTTTTTGAATTCTATGAATTTGAACATACTACTCGCCTCGCATACTGTTTTTAGCGTACTATGTAGTATTGAAGTATGCGATTTCGAAAGTAGCCAATCTGTAACACTGATGTACTGGATCAGGTCCAATATGTATTGGACACTGTATTGCCTACTTTGGTTATGTCCATGCCACTGTGACGGTTTGGTTTAGGATAGGTGTAGATGTTAATATTGTGAGTGTTAGGGTAGGTGTAGACGTTAATGACACAACGTAATGGGTAATTTCATAGTAAATATAAATAATTCTCATTTCTAGCAACAACCACTCATGCATGCACGTCCACCACGTATTAGGCCTGATCCAGTACATCATCATGCTACAGGCTGCAGTAAGGAAATGCTCAGATTGCTAGTAAAATATTTTAAAATATATTTGTATAAATTACCTATATTTTAAGTCAGACAATTTACAACTTAAGGGACGTGATGTTTAAATTAAAATTATTTCATTTCATAAGTTTGGGGTTTACTTCTGCCAGAGTTTTCTGTTTTTTCTCACATCCACTATATTTCAACTCGACATCACATGAGTATCAAGATTCCTTATGACAAAAACAAAACATTGAAAATGAACAAATAAACCATTATTTTTTTTAAACATGAAATGGTGTATAATAAATAGGTTGGTGTAAATGTTTTTAATCAAGTTTTGGTATTATTGAGCTAGATTTGATTAGTCATTGGGATATGTTTTTGTTGCTTTGGCAAAAACCTGGCAAGCCTGACAATACACAAACTATTTATTAAAAAATGGTTCACCAAATTGAGTAAAAATACAATTTTGTACATAAATCTTTAAAAAATACATAATTTAAATTGCTATTGCAAGGAGAATGTCTTACCCAGTTTTGAGCATAGCAGCCTTTGAAATAGATCCTTAACAGCATTGAGGGGCCTTGATTCTTTTTGATGCACCGACACTGCTTTTGGGAGGGTGAAGCATTCTGTTCTGAATCTGCAATAAGCATGTGAAGCAATTCAGAGAAATTCATGTTTACTTGTAAACACCACTGATTCAAACAATAAACACTGATATGCAATCTTTATTTTCAAGTTGTTGAGGAAAGACTTAAAATGACAAATGCCATCTATGTTGACCCAAGCAGGGAGTTTGATCTGCAGGTAATCAGACCAATTATATCACTTTTAGTTGCTTATTTGTTTTAAATATGACTTTACACAATGGTCAAAATAGTGTGCTAACGTTAAGTTTTCTTAATATGATTGTTTTATTAAAGTATTTCAAATGGTACCTCGTTCTTTTGATTTAAAGCTGAATCTTCAGCATTATTACATCTGCAGCATCATTTGAACAGCCAATTACTGTGGACTGAATTCAGGGATTTAAAAAGCGAAATCAAGGCTGCGGTGGTAAAAAACCCGCAAGTATCGCCTGTGTCAGAGAGTAATGTTGTGTACCTGGCTGTATATCTTATCAGCGAAGAGAAAACGACACATATTTTAAATTTCACCGTCTTCCTAGTGACCCGAAAGGTCTGTTCTGAATGGAATGTGTAAATAAAGAGAGATATCAGACCTCATTTAAGGAAAATGGCACTAGTTAGCTAACGTTTTCTTTCCCAAACACAGTTAAGATGCCATTTATCAAACTCAAGTTAATGAACAATCCTTTACTAATAGACTTGTCACGATACTGAATTGCGGTATTGAAATTTATAAAGACCATCAATTTCCCACTAACATTTAAGCACTGTTGAATCATGTTCACCGTTGTTTACTGAGAGCAAACACAGACGAGCAATAGACTGATCTTCGCAGTTTTAAAGAGCCCCTATGGTGGGTTTTCGAAAATGACCTTCCATGTAGTGTGTAACACAGATCTAAGGGAAGTGAAATATTTAGCTAAGGCTTATATCTGAAACTGGACAGCTTTTAACACTATTGATTCATCTAAAAAAAAAAAAAAAAAAAAGTTGTCAACTCTGTGGTTAGAATGAATCGTCTTCATAACGAATCTTTAGCCATTTCGGCGTGACATGACTACAAAACAATTGCTGCGTGCGCAAACCTGGGAAAACTTAAACTTGTGCCTCGCCCACCAAAACAGCAGCAAAGACAAACAGATCCTGAAGTCATGAGTCAAGAAGACGCTGTGCTTACCTGGATATAATTGGAAGTGTGAGGGAAAGAAGTGATACAGCAGTCTACACGCTTACAGTGGGCGATTCATTCGTTTGTTAAAAAAAAAGGGTAAAGAAAAGACTGATGGCACTTGTGAGAATGGACAGACAATGCACCAGGGGTGCGTGCAAAATAAGACCAGTAAATTAGGCACAAAGGCTGTCTGCTGCAGTTGAGGAGGAGCACTGACGAGCGCTACAACCCCCTGGCTGGGGATGTGATCTTTGGGCAAAGCAGAGTACAGGTAAGCCCTAAAAACATATAACACTTCACGCAAGAAGTCGGCTTGTCTCCTTGTTTTCTCTAGCTTGCAAAAGGTGTATTTAATTGTGTTGTTACTTGTAACTCTTTATAGTCTCATATCGCGTCTAATGCCACGTTGAAACGCAAGGTGTGCTGTATGAGGTGCCGTATAGGATTTAAATCAAACTTTGCTTAACACATACATAAAACACGTGTGTATACACCTATAAATTACTCGCATATACACCTATACTACTGGATGTTCAAAACAACATGGATGAAACTTGTGTATATACATATAAACTTGGCGCATGAATACAACCACATACACACGCACATACATATAAACTCGATCCTCACATAAACACTCACATTAACACACGCACATACATATAAACTTGCTGCATGCAAACACACTTATACACACTCGCATATACATATAAACTCGATTCTCGCATAAATACTCACATTTACATGCACATACATATAAACTCGCAGCATGCAAACACACCTATAACATCTCACGCAAACATACAAAAATAAATAAATAAATAAAATTCACAAACGTTTATCACGAATCTGGTTATTGCAAAGCTTATGAAATAGAAATAATGTGATTAATAGAGGGATTAAATATGTTAAATTATGAACATATGTTATTTCAAATATTAGTCTATATAAATAGACTATTCAAAATAAGAAATATTTTTATTTAAAACCTTTTTATTTAATTAGGTAATTACATGCACAAATATAAATGGACAGATAGAACCCCTAAAGGACGTTCAAAAAGCAACCAGAATTATAAATATAAATGTAAACTCAAGCTAAACTCCTCTATTCTATTGAAAATGTTAATGTTGCCTATAGTCTTCTTGTTTTGTTTTTTACATTTTTATAATTATTATGCTTTTTATATGTATTTACAATGTGGGTGTCAAAATTGCAAGATTTTGGTATCATTTTGACTGTTAATTATTCAGCATATACAAAAAAAAAAAAAAAAAAAAACGCTGATTAAAAGACTCTGCTCATCATGTTGGTCAAGTTAACCCCCATGGAAAAGCTATATATATTATCTGGACACTCCTTTTGTGTTTAATAACTACTACTTATATTTTTACAGCAGCTGGCATCCAGCATTTTGCTGCATTAGCCTGTTTATTGGTGACAGGAAAACCCACTTAAGTGCATTCCTGCCCCCTACTGGACATAATTGTGTATCATAACCCTTGACGAATAGTGAAACCAATAATAAAACAAACATAAAAAAATAATATTAGACAAACATATTTTATTCAAAATGATTACTTAAGCAACCTTATATTTATTAAACCATAATAACATTTCCAATAATTTAATTGCATAATAAACCTTTAATTTTGCAGGAGCATTCCTTTGCATTACCTTTTTATTTATTTATTTTTTAGAATTAGCATAATCTATTTTCATAATTCAACAGATGTAGTTCCTCTATTAATCACATTATTTCTGTTTCTTAAGGTTTGCAATAACCTGATTCATGACAAATAATAATCTTGTTCATTACACTCAAAGGACTTTTACGTTGAAATTAAACTACTTCCTTTTAAAGTGAAATAACTTCCTTTTACTGTGAAAATTCATGCACACACACATATGAAATCACTTGCATATATGTATATACACAACTAACTATATATGTTTGTGAATTTTATTTTGTATGTTTGCACAAGTGTCATTTGGGTGTTTATGCACACATCAAGTTTATATTCTTATGTGAGAGTTTATGGGTGTATATGCATAGATCAAGTTTATATGTATATGCGAGTGTGTATAAGTGTGTTTGCATGCAGCAAGTTTTTATGTATGTGCGTGTGTTAATGTGAGTGTTTATTTGAGGATCGAGTTTATATGTATGTGCTTGTGTATGTGGGTGTATTCATGCGTCAAGTTTATATGTATATACACAAGTTTCATCCATGTTGTTTTAAACATCCAGTAGTATAGGTGTATATGTGAGTAATTTATAGGTGTATATACACGTGTTTTATGTATGTGTTGATAAGCAAAGTTTGATTTAAATCCTATACGGCACCTCATAGTGCTGCTTTGTTTACAGATTTAAACATTGTGTTTGTGAGCTTGTGTTCCACTGCCATTTGTTGTTGCTATGGCCACCGTCAGATGTTCCTACACACGTGCAGCAGTCAAGGTTCAGAACAGTTTAGCTTTTGCCTCCTTGTGGATTAATACTGAATGTGTGTCATAGTTAAGAATGGAGCAATATGCTGGTGTTTGACTACACTGCTTAAATTCAACAAATGGACCATCAAAATTAAGTGTGATATATTTCAAATATAAATAAATACATTTCAAATTGTTTTATTGTCAAATAAACACAACATTGAGGAACCATTTAAGTAGAGGTGGAAAAGCACAAAAATAACAACAACAACAAAAAAAACGTTAATCACGTTACTTTGTTTATATCTAACTACTCTCAAATCGACATTATATATTAGCCCATAGAGCTTGTGATAAATTTTCTCAAGTACTTACTGACAATCAGGCGTGGATTCGAGTGTCGGGTCATGGCAAACTTGATCCAAAGGATATCCTTACTACAGTTAAACACTGGCTGGTAGACATCAGACACCACGACTCGATCCAAATTGCTCAGATGACCTTGATGAAATAAGTGCATTTGTTATTATTTGAGCAAACGTGTACGCAACCTATATTTTAATCAGACTGAGGTAGCTAAAGTTGGTTTTATATTAGCACATTCGTTCCGTGACAACTTGTGACGGTGTGCCTATATTGTTTACCACGCTAACGTTACTATGAATATAAGGTCTGAAATCTTATTTAAGTATGACGTCAAAACAACATTAACGTTTGCACCAATGTTGAACTATGATAGCAGACTAATACTAATATTTCCTACTTCGAAATTGCAAAATAATATTTTCTGAAATTAAATTATAAAGGGGAAGGTCTGAATGTGCGAATATAAAATCATATTTATCTCAATTTTAATAAACTCGGCTTACTTTTCAAATACCTCCAGGTCACAGGCTCATTGAGAAGATCCTCAGATTCGTCGTTTTGCGGGGGATTCAATCCACTTTGGCTTGAGTCTTCGTTCCTTAATTTTTCATCCAAACTGTGTTCCGGCCAACATGCATGGCAGTGGAACGTGGATTTTGGCATTGAGTCTTTGTTCGGGTCACCTGAAGACGCTGAAGCGTTGCGATATCGTTTACATTCCTCATATGCATCGTCGACTCTCAATCGCAATCTTTCCACATCTACCGGAGGCTGCTTGGCTTTGAGAGACTCACTGGCTCGGTCAGTGTCTAAAGTTATATCGTTTTTGTTAAGATGGGCTATTGTCCATTTTACAAATTCCCAATTTATCAACAGTGCTATCAATAACATCCTAATTTTTATGTTCCACATCATTTCAGTGCCCTGCACGGTAAAGACTTGTCATAGCACAATCAACCGGCGTCGGAGGGGAACGAAGGAAAAGTGGCACGCAATCTTGACAAGGCCTAAAAATTACGGGAAGACCGCAGGTTCAATTTATGCACTTCGCAGACATATATCATATCCGGTGATATTTGTTTGTATTTAACCATCTCATGGGTTATCTGTCATGCAACAAGCTTAAAAAATTGATAATATCTGAGATTAGACTTTTTAATATATGCAGATTTAAATCCACAATAAGTATTCGTCTTATCTGGTAAATTAATCAGTTTATTTTGAGTTTAATTTCAGGTTGTTTTCAATTTTTAAATAAATACAATAAGTTATGCTGTTTCCATTCAAATACCCCTAAGCCATGAGTGAATTTTGTGAGATAAGCAAGACTCATGCAGTACCAATGGTTTTTAACAGTAGCCCATGCTGTAAGTTTGTATAAAATGTTAAATTTGTTAAAATTCTAAGCACAGGTGGTTATAATAGGCACATTCTTATGGCAAGTTATAAAGAGGTAGAAACATCTGGAGGTCAGCTATACTTTACTGTTATTTTCAGTTTTGTTTACATTTGATGTGTTTATTTTGTGTAGTTTTAATTTTAATTAAGTTGCTTTATACAACTATAAATCTGCACCTGTATGAGTATTAAGGTATTCCTTCAGTCACTCCTGATGTTCATCAATAGTACAGTCATGATGAAACAATGCAGCTTATAAAAAGAAATGAAAATCTGTCTGCAATTTACTTCAGCATTTCTATAAAAATGCTCATATATTTGAATCAAAATGCATATTATTATCATATGGAAATTTTACTTTAAGCAGTTTTAGCCTGCTCAGTTATTTTTTTTATGTAACAAAACAAACAAATATAAAAAATCCTGATTATTTAAAAATATATTGGTTGCGGTGCAGAGGCAGTTCTAAATGACACATCAAGTCACTCTTAATTGACACAAGATTAATGTGATAGTTTACAGTACATCACAGTTCAAATGTTGTTAAATTTGTTCACTTTTGAATGCAATGTTGAATACTTTTGAATGTAATGTTGAATGTTGAATAACCTTTAAGTAAAACCAAACATTAATTTTAAGAAAAATGGAAAATAAAAATGCATTCTAAAACTAAATTAAATAAACTGTATTGGCACAAGGGCAACACAGTGGTTCAGTGGTTAGCATTGTCGCCTCACAGCAAGAAGGTTGCTGGTTCGAGCCTCGGCTGGGTCAGTTGGCATTTCTGCGTGGAGTTTGCATGTCCACCCCTTGTTGGCGTGCGTTTCCACCTGGTGCTCTGGTTTCCCCCACAGTCTAAAGACATGCGCTATAGGGGAATTGAATAAACTTTACTGGCCATAGTGTATACAGTATGTGTGTGCATGTGAGAGTGTATGAGTGTTTCAGGGCATCCGCTGCGTAAAACATTTGCTGGATAAGTTGGTAGTTTATTCCGCTGTGCCGACCCCTGAAGAAAATGAATGAATAAATGTATTGGCACAGGTTTATAAATGAATGTAAAACACGTTCAGTTGGCAAAATGTATTGACACTTAACAAAAAGGATTTGACTTGGAATCACACTTATGTTTATTTAGCTCATTTAAACACTGTCAGGCAATCATTGTGACAAATTCCTTAATGTACAGTAATGTCAGAATGTCAACATTTCAGTTTTCTGGGGAGTCTTAGTAAGGGTAGTCATGTAGAGAATGCTGTCCAAAAACTGTGACAGCCCTGATCTTGCCAGAATAGTTATGTCAGTTTACTTATCAATTCATTTTTATTTTATTGGATTGTTTTATGTAATTAGTTAATTTCATATATGTAATATTTACCACAACACTCACAAATAGCTTTGTACTCAGATCTTTCTGAAAATTAAACTCAACACATTTTTTTCTGGATGTAATGCTGTAAGTGAATACAGCTCACTGTTGTTCTCTTTCAGTGACAGTAATATTGTGCTTAAAATGCACTGAGAGCAGTGCAGTGATACAGGGTCTGGGTTTATCACATGTGCCTGGTAAAAGTTCCTGACATTTGAGGATTAGAGCAAGTTCAGTGCACTAGCACAACCAAAGCCAAGGTTTTATCCACTGACAGCTGTGTTGATTCTCTTTGAGATTCGAGTGTAAAGCAGATCACGGTATCCTGACTTCTATAGAGTTTGCATTTTTGCTTCTTTTTGTTGCACTGATAATTTGTACTTGATATAAAACAGCTTAAGATGGTGGTTGATGAACATGATTTTAATATATTTTAAAAGAACTCGGTTTCATTGATGATTCTTGTAGATGACCTTCAGATGACCGCTGCTGACATGCCTGTAAATCTGCTACTGTACCTATAGGCCAACAGAAAAGGTGCAAAATGAATTAAAGACTAAAATGGACTGTACTAGCAAAATATGTTATTGTTCCTATAGGAATATCAGCACTTCTCTTCCAGGCAACTGCAAACATGTAAACTCTACAAATGGTAAAATATGGACAAACTCTTTGAGTTAAAAGTATAAAATGTAAACAGAATTCATATTTTACCTAAATCTGTGTTGAAAATTGGGTTGAAAATGGGGCAAAATGAATTAATTTCTAATATTTTGTGGTAAACAAGAGTTGGCAATTACTTGTTTAGATTAACTTACCAGAAATGATCTCTCAGCCAGCCATGACATGTTTAATAAAAGCTTATGGAGAAAGAACAATAGGAAGAATTTTAATATAAGAAGCGTTAATAGTAAATATTTTTATCAGTAAAGTCTTGAGGTGTTCTTACCTTCATAGTTAATACAACCATTTGTGTCCTCCTGCCCTGCCAGCAACTGATCCACTTCACCCTCAGACAATCTCTCACCTAAAAAAATCAGAGTTCCAATGAGCCAATGTTTTCAGCATTCATAGAATAAGGACATTTCCCTCCAATTATTCCATACCCAAAGTTGCAAGTACATGGCGGAGTTCAGCCCCCATGACTGTTCCATTGCCTTCTTTGTCAAAGACCCGAAGGCCCTCCACAAAATCTTCAAATGAGCCACTTTCGGTAGACTTTGAAACTTGTTGAAGCATAGGCAGGAAAGTCTCAAAGTCGATCAGTTTGGATTCCATCTCTAAATGACAAAATTCAATCGAAGCAATTACTGTAGCAGATTCAAAGATTTTATTTGATGTCATAAAAATGTTCCTCTATTTCATAGTTCAACCAATAATTAAAAATGAAAACATTGTATTCACTTGCTTTCCTAATGAAGAAAGAACAAACCACAGAAATGATCAAATATCTTATTTTAGGGTTCACCAAAAATGCCTACCGCAGTCACACAATGGTCACCAGCGTCCAGAGGGTAATAACAAGTGTATCAATATTCTGCAAAGAGCCTCTTTAACAAATAATTCAACCAAAATGGTGATTCTGTCATAATTTACTGGTCCTCTACTTGTTCCATATCTGAATAGATTTTTTCTTTTATCCGTTGAACACAAAATAAGGTATTCTGTGGATTGTTTGTTACCAAACAGTTGACAGAACCTACTGATTTCCTTTTTCACCCCATACACTCTCAGAAATAAAGGTAAAAAAGCTATCACTGGGGTGGTATCTTTTTAAAACGTACATATTTGTACTTAAAGGACATATATTCATACCTCAAAGGTATATATTAGTACCTAAACATTTCAAGGGGTACATTCTTGTTCTTTTTAGGTATTAATATGTATCCTCGAGGTATCAATAGGGACCCTTTAAGCACAAATATGTACCTTTAAAAAATGTACCACCCCAGTGACAGCTCTTCTACCTTTATTTCTGAGAGTGTATGGAAATCTGGAGTTTCTGATGAAGAATTGGCAACCAACGTTTGTTTAAATGTATTGTTTTGTGTTCAGCAGGCAGATATTGGTTAAATGTTGGGTGAACTATACCTTTAAGCCAAGGACAGTTATAAAACGTTAACAGTGTCTCCATGGGCCTTTTTTTGCTTGTTAAGGAGTGCTAACACATTCCTGCAGTTAAAGTGGATCTTTGACTTACTGAGCCGTTGTGACTAGGATTAATTTGATCTCAGTATTCAAAGAATGACTTGCAAATGTCACAGAGAATTTGATTGCATTCGATGACATCTTTGATTTTAGTGAAAACAAACACCTCACTAATCCCTCTGACAGATGTGTGTTAAGTCTTTTACTTGGTTTGTTCCTGAAAGGTCCAATGGGACTCATTTAAATTTGATGTAACCTTTTGTCCTTAAAGGTCATGCAGTATTTGCTCTTTCGCATTTATGCTGTAAATCTACCTTCAGGCTTTGGTTTTCCTAGAACATTCAAGACTTCAGCATTGGTTGGGTTCTGCCCCAAAGCCCTCATCACATCCCCACACTGTGCGAGTGAAATGCCTGAGGGAGACCTGGCAAACAGCTGAAAAGCCTCTTTAAACTCTGTAAAAAAATAACATTAAGAAAAAAAATTCATTCTTTAAAGCCGAGTTGATCAGATGACCTTTTAAACTGACCCTTACCTTCAAGCTGTTGAGCATTGAAATGTACCTGAAACCCAGAACAAAGTTTTAATAAATGGTATTTGCACCAATATAATTGATCATAAGTTAAATATAATAGTAGCCTATAGGTAAATGTGGACTTGAAATACATTCTTGACATGTTTTTACTGCACAGATGTTAGTGTCATACAATATGTTAAGGAACAGTCTATAGCAGCTGTTCTGCTGCCATTTTTCCTGGCACCAACGATAATCTCCCCTCAAAGTACAGTCTGTTTATGAGATCATATCGCACATATCTGTATCCCTGGAGAGTCTAACTTAGGAAGTGTAGTGGAACAACCTCAGATCTTAGTGGCAGGTGTGTGTAGATCCATGTAAAGGACATCGACGAGAATCATGCCATGAAGTAGTATTGTTCTGTGCGTGCCCAGACATGCTGCTTATCAAAACCTGTGGCTCAGTCAATATTAGTCATCTAGAAATGAGAAAATTAGAATTAATGATGTCTTTGTTGGGCACATTAATATTCAAATTAGAGATCCACTTTGTCTAAGCATTATTTTCTAGGCAGAAATGTTTAAAAATAGATTTTCTGATATTGAATCTTTGAGTCGAAGACAAAACTTCGGTGGTGTGAGGGGTCAGGTCAATAAAAAAGCAACACAGCTTTGAATGTAGCTGTGGTTCATACATTAAAAAAAGGGTTTAGGTTTCAATTATATTTCTCTTTTTTTCTAAAAAAAATGATTTTAATCATACATAATCACCATACATTTAACGATTTACAAAGTTTACTGTGATTTACATCATTTTCAGTATAAAAAAATGTTACATAAAATGTTGTCATGTATATATTTGGAACTAGATTTATTTGATGAGAATAAAAAATGTATTGTTTTTTTAAATCTTTATATTTTCCCACTGTTTTAAAAACTTTAATAACTTGTAGTGCCTTATTTGAACTTTTCAAATTATTAATTAGCTAAATGATAATAAGAAAAAGGTTAATAATCTTGCAGTGTTAATGAACGCTCACATCAGACCAAGTAAAATTAAATAGCACAAAATAAAAAATAAAGAAATAGAAACTTACTACAGCTGCATTATTCACTGGATTTGGAGATTGGACTGGGTCTAGATCAGGTGCAGAATTGTCTTTTTCAGCTTTTGTAGCTGACTCTGGTGTTAAAATTGGTGAAGAAGCAGCTGATGCTGGATCTTTTGCCCCTGGAGCTGGATCTTCCTTTAGATCTTCTTTTTTGGGTGCTTGTTTTTGTGAAGCCATAATGGTGTAATCACAAATCAGGCTGACAATATTTGACTGCTGTTAAACAATGAGCACTGAAGCCCTCAATGTTATATACCCAGGTCTGTTTTCCGAAATCTGATGCACCTCCCAACATTACTCACATTTCTAAAATAGGAAAGAATGCACTGACTCCAGTGCATCTAATAAACTTCTCAGGATACAAAGCCCTTCCCACTTCACGTACATTTTCTCATCTGTATAGAGCATCATCACACATATTCTTCTCTGAACTCTCTCAAGTGAATTTTTGTATTAACAATAAGCTCAATGGTTGGGTAGATGTGCAAAACATATTCTGTTATGTGACAACATCATCAAAGTCATCCTCATAGTGATCCTTAACCACAAGTAAGGATGACAGCAATACAAGAAGGGATTCTGTTCACAGGCATGCTTTTAATAGACACAAATGTTGAAGCTTAACTGTAACCCGCAAACAATGACATCTCAATCACAACTGCGTCGCCTTTACAAAACATTTTTTACCCTGAGAACCTTCACAAAAGAAAATCTTATACACACTCTGAACTTCTGAATTATCTTCTAATAATGTGAAATCATCAACATAAAGTGATGCAACAAAACAGTATAACTGCCTGCCTAATGTGCTGCTGATGTATGGAGGATTCTTCAAGTTCTTCAAGTTTTGTAGGTAGTTAGGTGGATTCTCTGTGGATGAAACTGAAACAACTCAGCCCATTCATACTGAGACTTAAGCAAAACCTTAAATTCATAATTGTGCTCTTTAAACTATTCCTGAAAAATCTGCAACGTGCTTTGAAAGAGGTCACAAGAGAACACCAGTGTCATGAAGCTTTCTTTAGCCTGCTGTGGAACAATGTTTAGGTACAACAAATGCTGAATTCATGTCCACATGCATGTCTGGACCCAAGGTTTCCCAGCAGAACTTTCCCAGAGCATCACACTGCCTCCACTGGCATGTTGAAATCCCACACTGCATTCTAGTTCCATCCCTTCTCCAAGTAAACGGAGCCCATGTACACAGCCGTGCATGTGAAGTCAAAAAAGAGATTCAAAAGACCATGCATCCTTCTTCCAGTACCTATAATGTTCCCTGTCTACCACTAAATGTGCCGGCAGTGGGTGTGTGAGTGTCATAACTAAACAATGGATCCAGCAATTCATGTGAGAAAAAAGTAACATGTGCTATCTACCAACTATGCACACTCCTTCAAAACAATGGCATTCCCTGCACAGAAGTGTTTGAAGAACATGATACAGAGTTCATGGTACTCCGCTGGCCTTACAGTTCCCAAGATCTCAATCCATTTGAGGAACTTTAAGATGTGCTGCACCAACAGGCTAAAACCATGGCAACAACAGGATTTGTAGGATCTGCTGTGTTGTGTCAGTTACTACATATATTCCTCTGGGATATTGTAGAGCTCATGCCTTGGTCAATCAACATAATTTTGGCAGCATGTGGAGGACCAACAGCATATTTAGACGAGCAGTCATAACATTTTTGGCTCATTGATATATACATCAATACACAGAAAAAAAGACCATTGCAATATATGTTTTATGCCAGCTTTAACTGAGACATGGTAATTGAGAACTGAGAAGTGACTAGACATAACTATTGAATATGGCTCTTGCGTTCATTTACCCTCCAGTTCTCTCACTATGGATGCTGGTACCCTTCCAGCAAAGCTTGAGTCTTGTCTTTGTCTTTTTGTTTTGAGGGCATTTTTGACCAAGACCAAGTCATGCACTCTTTTGTCTACATGTTTAAGTTATTCGAACATGGTGGTTTGGATCCAGGCTAATCTGTCTAGTTTGGCGTCATGGTTTGGAGATCCGTATTTTGTCTTTTCTAGTGAACACATGGATTGAGTGTTCACTCTCTGTGTGCTCATGTCATGTTGGCTTTGATTTTTCATTTGTTACAATATCTGCCATGCACTTTCCTGTCTATTGTCTGCCTTGGTTGTTAAAAAGATAGCACACACAAAATTGTAAATTTAGGACCATCGACTTCCACAAATCCCAGAAGTCAATGATTCCATAATATTTTGTGTTAAACAGAGGAAGGAGACTCACATATGGGTTTGATCAAATTAAAGGGGAGTAAATGAAGACCACATTTTCAGTTTTGAGTGAACTATTACTGAATATTGGGTGTTTCGCTCTCCTCATTACTTGCCTTGATTGCTTCCCTATGTTCTTAGCTGTACCTAAAATCATCCTCTATACTCTCACGCATTGTTCCCGCATACAGTTGAAGTCAGAATTATTAGCCCCCCTTTAATTTTTTTTCTTTTTAAAATATTTCCCAAATAATGTTTAACAAAGCAAGGAAATTTTCACTGTATTTCCTATAATATTTTTTTCTTCTGGAGAAAGACTTATTTGTTTTATTTCGGCTAGAATGAAAGCAGTTTTTAATTTTTTAAAAGCCATTTTAAGGTCAATATTATTAGCCCCTTTAAGCGAGATATTTTTTCGATAGTCTACAGAACAAACCATCATTATACAATAATTTGCCTAATTACCCTAACCTGCCTAGTTAACCTAATTAACCCAGTTAAGCCTTTAAATGTCACTTTAAGCTGTATAGAAGTGTCTTGAAAAATATCTAGTCAAATATTATTTACTGTCATCATGACAAAGATAAAATAAATCAGCTATTAGAGATGAGTTATTAGAACTGTTATGTTTAGAAATGTGTTGAAAAAATCAACTGTAAGTCAACTTAAAGCAGTGAATGAAACAAGTGAGTGAATCAGAGCACTGAGTGCACACCGTTTTGTTTGTGCTTTGCAGGTTGATAAATCCCTCAGATGGATTAGATATTCAACTCCACATAGAAATGCCTCCTGACCCAGCTAGGACTCAAATGCTGTGAAGTAACAGTGCTAACCACTAAGCCACCGCGTTGCTAACAACAATAAAATAATAGTTTATTAAAAAACTTACACTTGGTAAGATTCTTTGTGGATGCCTTGTGGTCAGAAGTGGAGATTTAATTTGCTGCGTAATTAGTCACAGTGCATTATGGGTATTCTCTAGCCCTAAAGTGTACATTGGTTGTACACTCATTATCGCAGTGCATTGGGGATTGATTGAGTACACTTCAGAATGTCCACCATGGTTTCAGACACCACTACAAATGGTTGCTTCTTTAAAGTAAGCTGCGTCCCAAATGGCACATTATGCTCTTATCCACTATACTTATGCACTTACACACTCAACAGCATAGTATGTATTGTCATCCCAAATGGTGCACTAATGTTTTTCTTTACTTAGCAGAAATTCAAACTGTTTCCCTGATGATGTTTGACGGTTGCCAAATTAGCAAAATGAATGACCAAACTACCAAATAATACCTGCCATCAGTATAACCGCATTCACCACCGGGTAGCGCTATAATCACTCTCATCGGAAATATTTGCTTTCACAATTCAAAATAAATAAAGTAATCCAACATGTGCACCCGAAAGCTCCGCTCCTTCCTCTATGTGCAGTCGTTGAGGTTGTGAAGTGTCCATCATTCCACACTGGAATCATGCAGAAATATGCGATTTGGGATGCACCTGTAGACTATTTAAGACAGGGGTGCCTTGGTAATCAAAGACAGGCATGTTTGATTATGTTTGCAGCTGAACTCTGCATGAAGGTAGATCTTTGAGTACAAGATTGTGACTCTATACCGCTGAATTAGGGGTATAGAGTCGGTTTCGGATCCAGCCCTTGTGTACTTGTAGTGTACAAGTCGTAAATCCAGTTCTGATGTCATCTCTGTCTCTGAATATTGTATGACTATGTTTCAGCTTATGATTGTTTGCTTTCAGCCTCCACAAACCTCAGCTCTTTAGGGAAAAGACATGCTTTAAAAATAGATGGACAGGGTGTGACATAGAGTATGGCCCATCTACACCATACAAAACATTATGGATGTTCATGCAGTAACAGACAATCAGTTAATAAATTAAATCCAAAATCCCCCCAAAGACACAAACTGCATTAGAATTCTAATTTAATACAATTTACAAATGTAATTAAAACGTGTAGCTAAGGTCATTTGCATGCCTCTAAAGTAATGTCATCCATTTAACTCAGAAGAAGTGATTTAAGTTCACTCATGCAGTAAATGGTGCTGGTTAAAAGATGCATTTAATGTCCCTAGTGCTGTGATGCAAGCAGTTAAATGGATGAAAGCCTTGTTAGATGTAGAATGTTATCATTGTACTGATGGAAAGAAACATTATTTCAGCTGATATTTTGAAGTTTTGTTTTAAAACAATGACACTAACAGTGTGAGGTCAGAAGGGCCCCAGAAAGTAGGCTGTACCATCTGGGTATATCTCATCATATGCTGCATCACACAGGTCGTAGAGATAGATGAGACGGCTACGTCTTATGAGTCAACAAACTTACTCAGTTACTTTAGACTGAGAGTTATTATCTAAGACTTGAATTGTGTCGTTGTGAGAAGAAACGTCATGAACTTTTATCATGCCTTCATGATCTGGACGTTTACATTTACATGTGAAGGGGTAAGTCAAATTCAGTACCTTAAAATCTAAAGTGCATTTCAAAAGAGTGGTTACAGCTTGCATGCATTCACACGTGTTTTCCAGGTGAAGACAGTTCATCCTGAGTGTTGGATAGTGTTGCATCTGCAAGAGAAAGAAGCTGAATGTCTGGTCAAAATGGGTTTAACTCAGTCTTTGTTAAACATTAATGGTACCAATGCAGGTGAGTTAAAGTCACAGATATTCACTGATACTTTAAACTGGAGAAATCACATTTAATCAAGATTTCACCTAAAAATCTTAAACTTTTGATTTGACCTTTGTTCGCTCATAGATTTTCTGTGCAAAATAGAAAATATCGTTTTATAATTCTCTTTTTTTGTTCACAAAAAAGTTTAAGGGGAGGAAATGATGAAAGAAATTAACATTTTTTGGCATTGTGGGTAGCACGATCGCCTCACAGCAAGAAGCTCGCTGGTTCGAGCCCCAGCTGAGTTGGCATTTCTGTGTGGAGTTTACATGTTCTCCCCATGTTGGCGTGGGTTTCCTCTGGGTGCTCCGGTTTCCTCCACAGTCCAAAGATGGGGTATATTGGTTAATTGAATAAGCTAAAATGATCATGGTGTATGTGTGTGAATGCAGGAGTGTATGGGTGTTTCCCAGTGTTGGGTTGTGGCTGGAAGGGCACCCGCTGCATAAAAACATATGCTGTAGAGGTTGGCGGTTCATTCTTCTGTGGCGACCCCTGATTATTAAAGGGACTAAGCCGAAGGAAAATGAATGAATGAATGAATGAATGAGTGAATAAATGAGTGAACTATGCCTTTAATTTATGCTAACATATACAAAATTAAATAAGAATATTGGTCTAATACACAGGTGTTATAACACACCAACTAATTGAGTCCTTTAGGCTTGTTTAAAAAAGGTATGTGTGTTAAAGCAAGGTTGGAACTAAACCGTGCAGAGCTGCGGCCCTCCAGGAACTGAATTTGACACCTGTGGTCTAATAGATACATTTATTGTCTTCTTTAATACACTGTAAAAAAAATTTTTAAAAAGCTGAGTCCCAGACAATTCATTTATGTTTTCCCAACACAGATAGATTAAGTTAAATGAATCATTTTTACAAAGTTAAGAGGATTTAAACAAAACATTTAAGTTGTCCCTAAAAAAGGAATTGTACATTTACATTTACATTTAGTCATTTAGCCGACGCTTTTATCCAAAGTGACTTACAAATGAGGACAAGGAAGCAATTTACAAAACTAATTGTGTTGTTTTAACTCATTTTAAATAAGAAGTTTGAACAATCACCAAAAGTGTTTTTGAGTGTAATCAAAAGCATAACATTTTTAAAAAGTTACTTTTATTTCTTAATTCTAACTTTTTTTTATTACAGTTGCAAGGTTATATCTTGCGATTTTGAGTTTACATCTCACAATTGTGAGATATAGTCAGTTTTGACTTTTCCTTCACACTTCAGAGTTTATAAGTCATAATTCCTAAATTTCTAAAGTTTTGTTTTGTTTAAAGATTGTTTATTATAAATGACTTTTTATTTCAAAACTTTAATTCAGATTTAATTTTATCTGATAACTTTTTTTGTTGTTGTTGCAACGTTTAGTTAATATGTCAAGATTTTAACTTAGAAATGCAAAATAAATAATGCAATCTTGTTATTTGACATTTCAAGATGTTTAGAAAAAAGATTACCCCAGTGTTTCATTGCACCCCTGTGGATGTCTTTAGGTTGTCTGGTTGAGTGGGATGGTGTGAACTGCTGGCCTGCTGTCAGTGTAGGAGAAAGAGTCTCAGTGTCTTGCCCTCCTCTTCTGAAATCTCACGGTAAATCTTCTCTTACAGCACACATTTCATCTAAACAGCAAATTAACTTGTTATGTTATAGTAACTTAATGACTTGTACAACTATGGCCATAAAGACCAATACACCAATACAATGACCTAAATGTAAAATAAGCCTTTTCGACTGATGTTTCTAGAGCTGATCAGCCGCACATGCACTAGTAAGGGATGGAGTAACATGAGTGTGCCTTATTACACCGCCTGCTTTCAGGACAACAGCACAGAAGAGGAAGAGATTGGACACATTGTAAGCAACCTGGGGAATTGCTATAGATATATTTGATAGTGTATTATTTAAATTTTGATTTAATTAAATATAATTTATAATTATAGTTTCTATGTTTATTCTTGGATGTTTTTGTATTAATGTGGAAAGTTTTTTTAAGCCATGCAGAATCTCTAAATGTCAATATTATGTGTTTTCAAAAATGTCTCATGAACCCCACTATTTTTTATAATGGATTTGAATAATGTGATACAATTGAAGGCCCTCCTGTTAATTTTCAGTTCCTTTTTTAATTATTTCCCAAGTGCGGTTTAACACATTTTTTAGCATATTAGTTTTAATAACTCATTTTTTAAAACTTTTTTCTTTTGTGTTTGTCATGATAACCTATTATTTTACTAACTTTGCAAGATACTTGTATGCAGCGTAAATTGCAATTTAAAGCTTAATAAATAGCTTAACTAAGTTAGTTGAGCAGGTTATTGGACAACAGTGGTTTGTTCTGTAGCCATTCAAACAAAAATCTTAAGGGGGTTAATAATATTGACCTTAGCATTTTAAAAAAATTAATACCAAACATATATAATATAAATATAGTAGGAAATACTGCGAAAATTTTCTTTTGTGTTTAAAATCACTTTTGAATTTTTTTGCAAAATAGGAATTTTAATAATTTTGTCTCAAAAAATAGCCTTTTGGGTTTATATTATTTTTTGGCATGGCTTATGTGATTAAATGTGTAGTAAATATGTAGGGCAACTACTTTTTTTCTTCATTTGTGAATCATTTTACACCTACCATTGTGGTTTAAGCACTTTAATGTCCTGTTTGGTTAACACTTTATTATTGCAATTTTATGTTAATATTAAAAAGAGAATTTTGTGTCACCAGAGGATGGCGCTATATGTTTAAAAACCAGTGTGATGTGTTGGTCATCAGTACAAACTTCAGTACAAACTTTTCAGCTTAGCCTCGATTAATCAGGGGTCCCCACAACAAAAGGACCTGCCAACTTATCCAGTATGTGTTTTATGTAGTGGATGTCCTTCCAGCTGCAAACCAACACTGGGAAACACCCAAACACACTTTTTTACACACATACTCTACGGCCAATTTAGTTATTCCAATTCACCTGTACAGCACGTCTTTGAACTGTGGTGGAAACCGGAGCACCCAGAGGAAACCCACGCCAACACAAGGCGAACATGCAAACTCCACACAGATATGCCAACTGAGCCAGCCGGGGCTCGAACCAGCGACCTTCTTGCTGTGATGTGATCGTTCTCCCCACTGCGCTACCATCACACCCACTTTTCAAAAATAAGCTTATCTTATGTGGATTAAACAATATGCAAGTAACATAGTTTTGTGGTGAAATGTATTATTTGTTAAAATCCCCGAAGCCCCGCCCCAAACATCCTCCATTGTTCAGAGAAATTTTATTAGAAAATAATTATTTTATATATTATATAAAACCGATAATGAGCCGAGTCAAGTCAACTTAACCATATTAATGTAGTTCTTATTATAAGCGGTTACAGACCTTGTTCATAGGTTTTTAACGTTTATTTTCTTGTCTTGATTTTTCCAATGTTTTGAGATTTTTGTTAGTTTGAGGTTTTGTGTTTCATATGCCCCTATGCATTTGATTCACTTTAATTTTAGTTTACATTTTAACTTAATCACAATGTAAATTAATACCGTATTTCTGTGGCAGCACCTGAAATAATGCAATTTCAAGATTCAGAATACATTTTAAAGTCAATATTTATTACAATAATTAAAATATTTGGTAATTACAATAACCCTGGTCTAACCTTGTTATTTTGCATTTCACTGTGGAAGAGTGAATATTTTGCGAGGGTGAAGCTGATCTACACAGTTGGATATGGCATGTCCCTCAGCTCCCTCTGTATTGCAGTCTTCATCTTCTGTATCTTTAGGTACTGCAACATTCACTTCTAGCTTCAGTGACTTATTCTGTCTGTTCTGGTGCACGTGTTGACATTGTGACATTTACTTCAAGAAATGCTCATATCAATAATAGTGTTTCATTATTCACACAGGAAGCTTCTGTGCACACGGATCTACATCCACCTCAACCTCTTCTCCACATTCATCCTGAGGGCTTTGGCAGTATTTGTGAAAGATGCTGTTTTATTCGCTGATGAGACTGTCAATCACTGCACAGTCTCCACGGTAACAAGAACTGACTTAAAAGATTAATGTATAATGCCATATAGCTAAATCAGATATTCTAAACCAGGGGTCTTCAAACTAGGCTGGTGTCCTGCAGAGTTTAAATCCAAATTTCATCAAAACGCCTGCTTGAAAGCTTCAGATATACCTATTAAGACCTCGATTAGCTTGTTCAGGCATGTTTGATTACCCATATTGTCAGGGAACACAGACGGACACAATTGCAAGGATGTGACACATATGGAAAAATATACTATGGTAATTTTTAGGATATACAGTTGTGTTTTGAAACCAATGTTCAAAAACTTATGTTTGCTACTTTATTAATTTAAAATAAGCTGAAACAACAGAACTATTGAGTTGTCTGGGGGCAACTTAATTACGTTTACATTCAATCAACTGAAATATGTAAAAACTAATAATTAGTTAACTAAATTCCTTCATGTTTTTCCAAGACGAATCTTTTGTGTGGAACCCAGCATTTTTTACACTGTACTATAGTACTTTTAATGAATCTGTTGTAGTAATCCCATAGCTGCTCCGGTAATACAACAACTTTAATAATATTAACAAATGGCCCAATAGTGTAGTTTTCTACAACTATATTTGTATATTATACCACAACACAACACTGTTTACTGTCTCTAGAGTATGCTATAGTATTTATTACAGATTATGTGTTCACTATAGTTAATACTATAGTATGCTGTGTTATAAATTCTATAATATATTCAGTATAATGCTCTGTAACGAGAAGTGACACTAAGAACAAAGGTGCGGAATTATTTTGCAGAGAACTGTCTGGCAAGCGACAGTCAATACAAGAGCAAACAGATCTCGGGGTCAGTAAACAGGCAGATGGTCAAAAGACAGGCAGCATACAGGAACAAACAAAACAAAGCAAAGCAAAGATCGGTGCTAAGCAAGACTAGGCAAGGAAAAAACGCGCTGCAGTGTTTCACTATACAGATTAACAAGACTCAGCAACAATGTGTGTGTTTGTGTTGTTTTTATAGTCCTTGTAATCAGTCTTTGAGCAGCATTGGCTGTGTGAGTCTAATCAGTCTGAATCAGGAACCGTTTGTGTAAGTGTGTTGTGCATGACTGGATATTGTAGTTCTATTGCAAATTTGTAGTTCTCCAGCAATCTGTGAGTTTACCCAACAGTATCTGGATGCAGCCTTTATGATGCAAGCTGAGATTGCATCACTCAACAATGCAATGTCACACACAATGCACTCAAATGGAGCAAGTGATATCACGGTGAGGGGTAGGGTTAAAGGTGGGGTTAGGTAAGTGCATTAAAAAGTATTGGATGCATCCCAGATTGCACTGCACCAAGTCTGCATCCAGACCCCTCTCAGTTTACCAGCGATCTGAACAGGCTGGTAACATGCTCTTTGTATAGTTCAAAAACACTATAGTATTATTTACAATAAATTACTATATGATTTTTTTAATCTGCTGGACATTATCAGATTGTCTAAACCCCCATTCAGAAATTAGGAATCACATCTTGTTGATGAAATAACCCATCAGATTGTGCTAATGTAATTTTTGATGTAGCATTGTAATATGAATATGATGCTGTAATATCACCCTTACCCACCCCAATCCCTAACCCTAAAGTTAAAAAAAAAAAACATTTAACTTCAATATTAATAGCATAATCCGACATGTAATATATCATGCCTGCAGGACGCCCTCCTGGACTAAGTGTGGTGACCCCTGTTGTAAATAGTTGTTTCTTCTTCCAGGTTTTGTGCAAGGCATCGGTGACTTTCTTCCAATACTGCGTGTTATCAAACTTCTACTGGCTGCTTGTTGAGGGACTTTACCTTCAGACACTGCTTACGTTCACCTTCGCCCACAAAAGAACATTTTTCTGGTGCTATACACTTGTTGGCTGGGGTAAAATCACATTTGATCTTAAAAGAAGTTGATTTTACACATAAACTGCTGATTATATACACTGTTGATGATTTTTGTAAATTACACAGTAATCTGTTGTAATGCAGTTACAAGTATTTTAAAATTGCATAGTGAACATTAATGCATATTTTACAGAAAAGATTTACAATTATTTAAACACATACAGCAAGATAAATTGTGCTGCATGTAAACAGTTTTTATTGTTTTTGTTTTTGCTGTGATTAATTTGCAATAAGTTACTTATGAACTGCTGCCAGTAAATTACTGTAGATTCTTCAAGAAATTGTTAACAGCGTAACTTATTTTGTAAGTTGGTAAATTATCTTCTCTGTTTTACAGGGACTCCATCTGTCACAGTAACAATCTGGACGTTCCTCAAATATTCATATGACGATTATGGGTGAGGATGAGATATTTGTGTGGAGAGTATTTGGGTAAATACTGTGTAGGTGATCTGTATCGTGAATGGCCATGTATTTGTGTTGGTAGGTGCTGGGATGACCTGGACAGTGGCTTCTGGTGGATCATCAAAATTCCCATTTTGATTTCTGTATTGGTAAGTCTTTATGATTCGGATGTTAAGTTGTCCTATGATGCTAATTTGAATATTTTCTGCAACATGATTTCATCCAAGGTCATTTGAAGGATAATTAATTTTCAATTTTCATTCGGCTTCCCTTTATTCATCAGGGGTCATCACAGCGGAATAAACTGCCAACTGATCCAGCATATGTTTTACACAATTAGCCTCCCTAAATTATTAGCCGCCCTGTTTATTTTTTTCTCTAGTTTCTGTTTAACAGAGAGATGATTTTTTCAACACATTTCTAAACATAATAGTTTTAATGACTCATCTCTAATAACTGAATATGTTATCCTTGCCATGATGACAGTAAATAATATTTGACTAGATATTTTTTAAGACACTTCTATACAGCTTATAGTGGAATTTAAAGGCTTAACTAGGTTAATTAATGTAGGTTAACTGGGCAGGTTAGGGTAATTAGGCAAATTATTGTATAACGATGGTTTGTTCTGTAGACTATCGAAAAAAATTTGCCTAAAGAGGCTAATAAATTTGTCCTTTAAATGGTGTTTAAATATTTAAAACTGCTTTTATTCTAGTCGAAATAAAAAAAATAAGACTTTCTCCAGAAGAAAAAAAATTATCAGACACACTCTGAAATTTCCTTGCTCTGTTAAACATCATTTGGGAAATATAAAAAATAATAATAACTCAAAGGGGGGCTAATAATACTGACTTTAACTGTATATATTGCTGAACATATATATTCTTACACACTGCTGTACTTTTACATTTTACAGGTGAACTTTCTGATGTTCATTAATATAAGCAGGATTATAATTGTAAAAACAAAAACCCCTGACTCAAATGGAGGAGACAAACGATTTTACAGGTGAGATCTAATGAGTTATTAAACCTACACAAGATACCTTCACACGGTATGTTTATTCTTGATTAGTTTTTTCTAATATTCCTTTTATTACTCTAATGTGTTCTGCAGACGACTGGCCAAATCAACTCTTCTGCTAATCCCTCTTTTCGGAGTGCACTACATTGTATTTGCTTTGTTTCCTGAACATGTTGGCCTAGAGGCGAGACTCTTCTTTGAACTTGTACTGGGCTCCTTCCAGGTATTTGCAATGTTGTGCTGACTATACTGTACTCAGACCTACAGTACAAAACAAATATCAAGTACGATTTAAATGAGTAGCTGTGACTTTAATAAGCTTTCTTTGCTCATGTTGTCCCTTAGTTAGAGAGATGAAAAAACTAAAAAGCATTAGTTCTCCTAAAAATGAATATCTGTTGTAGTTTTACTCACCCTTTTTTTTCTTGAGCGACACATTAAAGGTTTTTCCACATTGTTGTGAATGTGCTTAATGCCATTTGCACTATAAAATGACTTCACTTCATTAGACCACATATTGTTAGGATTATCAATCAGTCCTGTTTAATTTATATCTAGGACCATTGTTTCATAAATAATTTTTAATATTGAAGAAAGGGATGACACAGTGGTTTGCACTGTGGCCTCACGGCAAGAAGGTTGCTGGTTCAAGTCTTGGCTAGGTCAGTTGGCATTTCTGTGTGGAGTGTGCATGTTCTCCTCATGTTGGCGTGGGTTTCCTCCACAGTCCAAAGACAGGTAAATTGAATAAATCAAACTGGCCATAGTGTATGTGTGCGAATGAGTGTGTATGGGTGTTTCCCAGTACTGGGTTGCAGCTGGAAGGAACTCTGCTATGTAAAACATTTGCTGGTTAAGTTGGCGGCTCATTCCGCTGTCAACCCCTGATGAATAAAGGGACTAAGCCTAAGGAAGCTGAAATGAAATGGATGAATATTAAAGAAGTTCTTGTGGGTGTTTTTTTTTTCATTTAAAAGATGCTTCTTTGGAGCCTGATAAGGGATTCTGTGCCTTCTATTGTAAATATACCTTAAAAACACAAGCCAGTTTCACAAAAACATTTATAACGTCTCAACAAATACCTCAATTTAGCTCTTTTAAACGTCAAAATATTAACTTTGGGATTTCTCTGAAGGGTTTCATTGTGGCGTTGTTATACTGCTTCTTGAACAGTGAGGTAACAGCATTATTTATCATTTTAATTTTATTGCATTTCATGTGAAAATATAAATAAATATTTAATGACTATATTTTATTAATGGATTTCACAGGTCCAAAATGAAATACGGAAAGAGATAGAGAAATACAAGTCCCGAACCGACATCAACACTTTCCACATGGCAACTCAAGACTTTATTGCATAAATTTGAGAACATGTTTTCATTTGCACTTCAGCTTGCTGTTTTTTTAAAGCACTGTAATGATAATTGTGTGAATGTTTTTATATATGATGTTTGACTTTATTCATTTATTTTCATCCTATTCGTCTTGTTGTTGTTAATTAATTATTATTGTGATCACATAAAAGTGAATCAATATAATAGTATCTAGCAGAGTGTGGATTTAGTTTGTTGGTCAGCTGTGGCATAGTAGTAGGCATTTATTTAAAGGCGTTTCCTTTAGCACTTCACTTGATATTTTATTCGATGTGAAGACATGATATTTAAGCATGACTTATGTATCAAAATGGTTTTAAATATTTTTAAATGATCTGTTATTGTTAACCTAAAATAAAACACAATTTCACTTCCTTTACACATTTGTATAACCTGTGATAATTTCGCCATGATGAACAGAATTAAAGTAAAACCGAATTGTACTTCTTTTTTATTTATTTATTGCATATTTTACACCAGAGGATGGCGCTACGTGTTCAGTTTGACGCATCACGTCATCAAAACATGAGTTCTTTTCCGCCCAGTAACATATATTGATTAGTGAGCATTGTGTATTAATTCATCTCAATCACCGTATAAATCTGCTGTAAATAAGAAAAAAAGGATTATCTTCAAAAAATGTTGTGCAATTTGAGGATAGTTATTACTTCCAAGAGGCATCTGCAACATTATGAGTGATCAAGTATATTAAATTTCTCTTCAGCAGCCTGATCTACTTTAAAGGTTTGGCAGTGTGTTTCTGAGAGAGAGAGAGACACACACACACGCACCCCCCTCCCCCCAAAAAAACACACACACACACACACACACACACACACACACACACACACACACACACACACACACACACACACACACACACACACACCTAGATTATTGTAATTGACTTATTGTAAATATGATGATTATTACTGTTTTTATTACCGTTTTATCCTAAAACGTTGATTGTTAAATGTACAGTAAATTCTAATCTATTATTGTTTTTATTGATATAAATTAATATTATATGTATATTGTATGCATATTTATTTATATTTTTGTTTAATTATTATATGTATATATATTTTTTTTTTACTAATACTATTTACTGTGTTTTTAATATATATGTTCTTTTATTTTAATGTAAACTTTATAAATGCTTTGGCAATAGGCTACATTTGTAGCATTTTTCATGCCAATGAAGTATTTATTGATAGGGAGAGAGAGTTCTATAAAAATTATTTATTATATAAATAATATAGTATAATATAATACATGATTGTGTGCGATTATAAAGGGGCTGAAATTGTTTGACTTTATTTATTTATATTTTTATTTATATATCATAAAAACCATTTTAATCCACTTATTCGTTAAAGTTCAATAATTCATTACTTATATTTATATTATTTAAGTTTTAAGTAAATTTTTAAACGATTTCTGCTTTGAAAAACTAAACGGGGTTTTTCGCGCCTTTTATCAAACTACCGGAAAAAACTAGTTTGAACTGAGATCGTTTAGCTACGTTTTAAATATTTGTGCCGTTGTAAACGTAAAACTCTTATAAGATATGTTGTATCGTATTCCTATAAGCTGTTTTCATTGGTTTAAGTTGCAAATAATTATTCACTTAAGCAAAACAATCTGTTTATACATAATATTTATTATTAGTTTACTATTTATTATTCCGTCTGTATTCCTTTTTATCGCTGAGGGAAATCCTTCTCTGTAGACGTTACAGAAATCGTTTTACTATACAACAACCCAGAAAAGCACCTGCTCAGCAAAGGTAAAGTAAAAAGCGTGTTTCCAAGACCCTCATAACTGCGAGTTTTCCAATGATGATCCTCTCTATACCTGCGGCTCAATCTCAGGTTTCATTCAAGACGTTCACGCGTCAGCAACAGCTGCCCTGGAGCTCGCGCTGGCCTCGGGTTATAGAGTCAGACTTCAGCTGGAAGACTGAAGACCAAAGACTGAAGGTTTTGTGGAAATATTTACCTCACTGTTAAAGGTAAAGCTGTGGTCTAGAGCAAGCATGTCAGTTGTTTGAGGGCAATGCTGTGTCTGTATATGGAAAGCTACATGTTCATTTTGGCCCCCAAAGGTTTTGATTTCAGTGTTGATTTAATATGCTGGTGACCATGTCTGGACAGACTTTAGTGTGACTGCAAAGCATAATGTTGAAGAAATTGGGATTTTAAATTGTGATTTGACATGATTTAAAACATGTGAGAACACTGGAATTTTAAAGATGTCCAACAGTTTACATAAAATTAAGTGAGAAAGATTTGTATCCAAAACATTTGATTCTGACTAGTAAAGCATGGCATTCTGTTGGCAAATACTGTCATGTAATGACAACCATATTAAAAAATGACCAATTTTCCAAGTCTCAAAATCACGCCATTGGTATTTCTTTTAAAACATTGACATAAATGAAAATTAAATAACAATAAATTAGTGTTGAAGCATGTCTATTTTGTAAATGTTTAATATTATTTCTCTTTCACTTCATCACTCTTGTTTATTTGCTTTCCATCATACTTCTCTATATGTATATATACAGGTATGTGAGCTCAAAGTTTTTCCTTTCGGCTAATGCTCTCAAGTCTATTGTTCCAGCAGATGCTGACTGTGTAGCTGTACTCCTTTCCCCCCCATCCAACAGCGTATGGAGTCAGAGTTAAATATAGCCTCAGTCTTCATTTCACAGCTCGGCTGGTGATGCTCGTAGTGCTCAGTTGTACCCCACCATTCCTCCACTGTTAATCCATGTTGCCCTGATCAGAGGTGTAGGATGATGGAGACTTTTGGATTGTTGGTCCCGAGATACTCATAAGAAGTGCTCAGATCAGATTTTGTGTAACCCCCCTTCAGTTTTATGCTCTCGCATCTGCAGGATATAGACCATGTCTCATGTACTTAACCCTGTTTCAGAGGTGCAGGCAAACTAAATTTAATGTTGTTTAATATGGACTATTTCTTCTAATAGAAATAAAAAAGATGTTCATTTTTAGCTTTATCACTAAGGGCCAGATGGAAACTTGTGATTGAACCTTGTGAGTTTGACTTACAGTGGCACACACTGGTTGATTACTGGATAGTATGTTGTTGATTAGAGCTAAACCATTACATCACTATGTTTATCATTGGTGAAACAAGGTTGGTGCCATGGTAAATGCTTGCTGTACATTTTATTGAGTTAGATGATGTGTTGTTTAGCATGTGTGTGTCTGTGTGTGAGCGAGCATTGGGCATCACATGCTCTTGGACGCAGAAGGTGTTGGTTTTAGGTTTCTTTCACCGGTGAAACCATGTGATCTGGCGATCCATCTACCGCTGTCTTTTAATGTGTGCAAAAGGAGACTGTAGAAGTGTAGAAGGTGCAAACATGAATTTGACCCGTTTTATAGTCACCAACACACCTTTTGTGCATCCGGAGTTTGTGGCATCATGGCGTTTGATTGCATTTTATGATACGGGATATCTGTTTCTAGTCTTTTATCACAAGTGATGCATACTAGACTTAAAAAAGTGTCCCAATGCATACAGTTGAAGTCAGAATTGTAAGCCCGCCTTTTAATTATTATTATTATTTTTTTTAATATTTCCCAAATGATGTTTAACAGAGCAAGGAAATTTTCACAGTATTTCTTATAATATTTTTTCATCTGGAGAAAGTCTTATTTCTTTTATTTCAGCTAGAATAAAAGCAGTTTTTGCATTTTTTAAGAACAATTTTAAGATCAAAAGTATTAGCCTCTTTAAGCTATATATACTTTTTTTCGATTTTAAAGAACAAACAATAATTATATAATAATTTGCCTAATTACCCTAACCTGCCTAGTTAACCTAATTAGCCTATAAGCCTTTAAATGTCACTTTAAGCTGTATAGAAGTGTCTTGAAAAATATCTAGTCAAATATTATTTACTGTCATCATGGCAAAGATAAAATAAATCAGTTATTAGAAATGAGGTATTAAAACTATTATGTTTAGAAATGTGTTGAAAAATGTTCTCTCCGTTAAACAGAAATTAGGAAAAAAAATAAACAGGGGGGCTAATAATTTTGACTTCAACTAAGTCAAAGATGTCGTCCTATTTTGGTGTCTAAAACAAATGAAATTTTAAAGTGATTATTAGTGATTACATTAAAGTGATTATATTACATATTATAGAGGGTATTAAATTCAGTAGGGTATATGCACAGCTAGTGTTCATGCACCCAATGATAAACTTCTGGTGAAAGCTTAATGCGACTATTTTCAATTTCATAAGGTTTTTTTTACTGCATCGATGTTGTAAAGTAATTACAGTACATTCAGTTAAATAGACTTAAACATTCATTTAGTTCATTTAGAAACTCCATTGAAAATACTGGGGTAGAATAAACTCATATTTTAAAGACATGGCAGGGCAAAATGGAATTTAATGCAGTGCCTCTTGTCCAGTCTGAGACCCACTTTATATTGTATATCCATCATGCAGTGAAGATCCCTGATTTTTAAAGTAAACAGACCTTAAACATGGAAAATATATAAAGGAACAGCCAGAAGTGCTGAGGCTGGCTGGCTGAAATTAAAAGTCTGTGTGCATTTACTTAATTGTTTATTTTATAGTTTAAAAGGTGAAAAGTAAATAATCTTACTCATTATTCACCTTATTCTCCGCCGACGAGTGGGCGCTACCATTTGAATCTTTTTGGCTTGAGACTTCCGGTCTCATTCATTTCCATTAATTTTTTGATGTTAAAAACTGCTCATTACGCTGCTTGATTTTGCAATTTGATATTTTCTTATTATATTATTCTACTTGGTCTGTATAATCATGCAAACATTTGTTTGTAGAGCAAGTAGTTTGACCGTTTTCTGCCGTTTATTATTCCTAGTCAGTTCTCCCATAGGCGACTGAATCGGAAGTTCTAAGACAATCCCGAAAACAGGCGCACTTCCGCATTTTAGAATAAGGTCAATAACATGTATGT